AAGAGGAAACAATACATACATACATATATATCTATATCTATCTATCTATCTATCTATCTATCTATCTATATCTATACATATATATACATATCTATGTCTAGAAGGGTATAAAAATCTTCTAAATTAAAAAAGAAATAAGAGGGCAAGAGGATAGGGAGGGATAGAGAATAGGATAAGGGGGGGGTAATGGAAGGGTGTGTAGATTAATAAGAATGGGATAGAGAAGGGAGGGATTCTGGAGGAGTAGGTTAAAGAATAGGAGGGCAAAGTAGTGGGGTAGAAGTAAAGTAGAGGAGTAAGGAGGGTTAGGAATAGGGTGAGAAGGATAGTGAGGAAAATAGGGAGGGAAATATATAACAAGTAATTATAGTTTAGTACATGAATGGGATGAATTTACTCATAAAATGGAAACTGATAGCAGATTAAAAAATTGAATTCAACAATATGCTTCTTTTAGGAAATGCTATAAAAATGAGAAATACACAAATATAAAATAAGTGTCAAGAGCAGAATTTATTATGTAAAAAAAGCAGGGATAATAATCATGATCTTAGACAAAGTTAAAACTAAAATCAGTTTTAATAAAAAGAGAAAAATAATGAAACTATACTGTGTGTCAGCCACGTTAATCAATAAATAGTTTTAGAGCATATAAAATAATTAGATACTATAAAAATGAGTATTAACACGCATAAGAACTATATGAATACAAACACAAAATACCTTTCATACAAAATTTGAATGAAATAATTGAAAAACATTTTTTGTGCATGGGTAGGTAAAGCTAATATAATAAAAAAAATGACAATTGTACCTAACCAATCTATTTATGTAATACCATTCCAATTACATTACTAAAATTTTTTTTTTTTGCTGAGTCAGAAAAAAATAACAACAAGGTTTATTTGGAATATCACAGAGTCATGAATTTCAAGGAAATTAGGGGGAAAAGATGTGAAGCAACTAGATTCAGGGGTATCAGATTTGAAAAAATATTATAAGATAAGAGCAGTGTTGAAGTACAAAATGAATAATTTTGGTTATTTTAAACTAAAATTTTCCTGTATAAATAAAGCCTATATAGACAAGAATAGAGGGAATGCAAAAAAAAATTAGGGGGAAAAATCTCAAACACAATCTCCCAGACAGAATGTAATTGGGTCAGAATATTGTTGTGGTGTAGGAAATGATGGGCTGGTGGATTTACAAAACTATGGAAAGACTTGGACTTATAAAGGAAGGTGCTATTCACCTACAGAGAAATATATGATAAATGGAAATGAGCACATATACATACATATACATATATATACACATACACTTAATTGTAGCATTTGGGGAGCGGGAAGAAGGGGAAATAGAAAGTAAAAAGTGCACAGCTGAGAACAAAAGAAAGCATACAAGGAAGCAAAGATGAACAGCTTTGAAAATAATATGTAGTATTTATTATGCATGTTTTCTTGAAATGGAAATTTATTGTTTTATATTGAATCCTCTCTTATGTTCTGCTGAGTACATGAAAATTTTTTTTCTTTCTTTTCTTATTTTCTATTTAAAATAAATTCAAATATAATGGAAAAATAACATTCTTTTTTTTAAATTTTGAATTTCAAATTCTCTCTCCCTTCTTCCCCTTACTCCTCCTTGATAAGGAAAGCAATCTGATGTAGGTTATACAAGTGCAGTCATGCAAAACATGTTTCTATGTTGGCCATGTTGTGAAAGAAAATATAGTACTCCTTCCCCCCAAACACACACACATAGACACAGGAAAAATAAGGAAAGTAAAAAGAAGTATATTTCTTCTGCATTCAGACCCCAGTTCTTTCTCTAGACATGGATAGCATTTTTCATCAGGAGTCCAGAATTGTCTTCGATCATTGTATTGATGAGAATAGCTAAGTCATTCACCATTGATCATTGTACAGTACTGCTGTTACTATGTATGATGTTCTGGTTCTGCTCACTTCACTTTGCATCAGTTCATGTAAGTCTTTTCCAGGTTTTTCTGAATCCTACTTATCATTTCTTATGGCACAATAGTATTCCATGACAATCACATACCACAACTTGTTCAGCCATTCCCCAATTGATGGGCATCTATTCAATTTCCAATTTTTTACCCACTTGACCTCTCTTGGCCTCAGTTTTCTCATTTATTAAATGAGTTGCACTAGAGATAGTCTCTGACATTTCTTCCAACTCTAAGTCTATTATCTGAGGATCTTATGTGGCAGGGCAGTAATCTCTTTGGATATCCTTCCTGAAATTTGCCATGAATTATGGGCCCCTAACAAAATTATTTCTTAGGAGGTTAAGAAAGTGAACAATTTCCTTTAAAAAAAATCATACAACCTGAGGTGTGGATGGCAACTTAGGTTATGGAATCAATCCTAGATATGTTGTATACAGCTCTCTCTCTATATATACACATACACACACACACACACACACACATATACACACATATATGCATACATACATACATACATCTATACATACATATACACACATATATACATACATATATACATACATACACACACACACACACACACACATATATATATATATATATATACCAATGTTCCTTGGGTGTGGCTGTGAGTTATAAGATTATACCCCATAGGCTGCATTAAAGCATGTACAATAATATAATATTGGTGAAGTGGCCTAAGAATTCTGGGAAACAGTTTGGAACTGTTCCCCTAAGTTAATGTTATTATGGAAAAAGAAAAAAGAAAACACTGAAAAGTGGCAGAAGACCTGGTAGAGAATTTTGTGAGTGATTTTCTATTTACCTCTGTGATTTTGTCTGAAGCTCATTTTGCTCATCAATGAAGGCGGTGGATGAGATGAGCTCTAAAGTCTCTCCTAACTCCAAATTTTGTTTTTCATGAATGTTACCCACCTCATGGGAAGACATAAGTTACATCATGTGATGACTCCAAACTTATCACCATATATCAGTTTGTGCTTCCTTGCATCTCTCCTATATTCTCTAATAGTGTCTTTTGTACAAATTAGATGTTGAATCAAGATGTAGCAGATGGTTAGTAGATAGCTCCCTCACCCTACACTACTTCTGTGTAAAGAGGTCCCCACAGAAATGGCAGAAAGAGCTATTAGGGGAAATAAAACCCATGAGGAATATATAGATCTCATTTGAGGATTGATCTCTACCTCCATCTCTCCTTAGCACTGGTTGTTAAAAATCACATGCAAAAAGTCATGGCTCAAAGTCAGGATCTGGAAAGAAGAGAGAAAAATAAAATGTCTGCAAATACCAAAGAATGGCTAATCAGACAGTGCTTTTCTCAAAAGGATATGGGACTGTCTTAAATGAACTGAAGGCAATAAATATTGATGAGTTTTTTCACTAGGAACGTTAATTCATTTAGAAGTTCCATTTCTGTTGTTGTTGTCATTATTTGTTGCTTTGTTTTCCCTAAGTCAGGTATGCATATTGTTCTAGTTTATATCTGAAGTTTCACTAAAGGAAAAAAAAAGGAGCTCTAAACCTCCTGGGATGATATTAATATTACAAACTGAGACTAAAATCCATTGCTCCAAATCCAGCTTTATGAATCACTAATCCTCAAACACACACACACACACACACACACACACACACACACACACACACACAAATACATACACAAACTCACTCATTCTTCCTGAAGAGCATTTGTCTTGAACTGTTTTTCCATTTCATTCTGAATTCATAATTGAAACTCTAGCAAGAGGAGATCTCAAAGCACTGTATAAGTTTGCTCATTTTGGAAAACTTTCAGTCTTAAAAATGCTGTGTTGAAAGGCAGAGCAACTGAAAGAGGAAGAAGACATTTTAAAGGGATGCATAGAAAGACATGATGTAAATAAATTAGAACCAAGGCTTCCACAAAGTACTTGTCAGTGGAAGAAGATCAATCATCATCCACTCCCCCACCTTATTTCTCCCTCCATCCCAGTCACTTTTAATGGATATAGGAACTTTGTCATTGTAGTCTCTCTTAAGGCAGCAGGGAAGTACAATCCTGACAGAAAGTACTGCTACTACTACTACTACCATTACTAACACTACTACCACCATCACCACCACTACTACTACTACTACTACTACTACTACTGCTACCACCACTTATATATAGCCTGATACATGTCAGGTATTGTGCTAAGTGCTTTACAAATATTATCTCTTTTGATCTTCACAACAACCCTAGGAGGTAGCTGCTATTATTCTTACCATTTTATAAAGAAACTGAGGTATACAGTGGTTAGGTGACTTGCCTAGAGGCACAAAGCTATTTTTTTTTTGTTTTTGTTTTTAGGCAGTTGGGGTTAAGTGACTTGCCCAGGGTCACACAGCTAGGAAGTGTCAAGTATTTGGTCTGAGGCTGAATTTGAACTCAGGTCCTCCTGACTTCAGGGCCAGTGCTCTATCCACTGCTCCACCTAGCTGCCCCAGCACAAAGCTATTTAAGTGTATAAATACAGACTTGAATCCAGGACTTCCTGGTACTCTTTTTATCACCCTTCACTGCCTTTTTACTATATTTGTCAGAAGTCAACATCATTCTCTTTTCTCAGATCATGGTCGACCTCAAAACTCAGTTTTCTGGTTCTATGCTGTCCTTTGTCTTCTCTGTTAATAGCAAGTGTCCCTTATGCTGAGAATATTTCAGACAGTCCTAGAGGTTGCTGCTACAGTTAATGCATTCCTTGCCTCCTTTCATACTGTGAAAAGTATCTTCCTAAGGTTTTGTTTTGTTTGTTTTTCTTTACAAACAAGGTAAGATTTCATTATGAGATCTTAAAAAGTCTCCTCTCAGAGTCATGAATATTGACTAATTGAAAACTTTTTTGTTTTCCCCATCTGTAAAGCTCAGAAACATTTTTTAAATTCATACTTAAAAAAATTTCCACTTTTAGCCCTCTAAATTCACATTATAACCTTAACATTGCTCAGTCAAGTCACAGCTCAGTTGTTTAGTTCTTACCTTGGTAACGTTTCCATTTTTCCAAGTTCATCAAACCCATCTGGCTTACTTGCTGCTGGAAAGAAGGAACAATCACATGTCTCTCATCAGATAATATCACATGCCCTTCTCTGCAGAAAGTAGCCTTGACCCATCTTGCGATTGTTTGTCTTCCACTTTGCTGCAGCCTCATCTGAATAGGGATGTGATTACTCACCCCATCTTCAGCATTGTATTTCTCCGTTTTGTCAGCTAAGGACCTGTATCTAGTCTCCTTCCCCCCCCCCTTCCCTCCATAGAGCTGATTTGATTGCAGCCCTTTCTCTGCTGAAGTCAATGGAAATTCCACACTCACAGCAGCTGCTGGGGGCACAGAGCAATGTGAGAAATAGGTCCAGAATATACCAACACATTAGCTACAACATCATCCCAGGGTCATTTTCTCCCTTCAGCTAAGTGTAAGAGGTTACTGAGGTTCGACTGAAGTGATTTCTCCTTGTTGTGTCTGTGTGTGGGTTATGTTTAAAAAAAAGTATGTAGATTTAGCTTTTGTACATTCAGCTTTCTAAAATGTCTGCCCCCCTTACAGTAATGCAGAAAGACTAGCCTTTTCAGAAGAATAGTATCAAAATGGGATTTCCTAATAGTATATAAAAAATTAAAAATGAATGGCAAAGGAGAAGTGTATCGTGGGTAGGAGCAGAATGAAACATATAACCAATGAGGATTTTTCTCACTTTTCCAGCATGCCTCAGGAAGCTGATTACAGAAAAAACCTCCTTCAAAATCCCATCAGCCTTATTATTTCACCTCATCACCACCTCTTGTCCCTGTCATTAAGGATAAGACCATGAACTCTAAAACCTCTATTTAAGGAGAGAACTCAGCTAGAACATCTCCTCATTTCTTACCTGGCTGCTTGACCTTGAGACTTCTCTGACTTTTCTACCAAGCCTGTCAGGCGAGTACCTCCTTCAGTCATCCTTTACCTTTCCTCCTCCTTCTACTGCTTTTCAGCCTCCTTTTGCCTTTTATGTATTGTCTTCCACTATTCGATTTTAAACTCCTTGAAGGTAGGAGCTGTAATTTGGTTCTTTTTGTACACAGTTCCTGGCACATAGTATATGCTTAATAAATGCTTATTGTCTGACTGATTAAAAGATTTCATCAAGGAACTCTATGATAGAAAAAGAAAGTGGGTGGTCACTTGACAAAGATGAGGGTTGACAGACAGCTACAGTGTCTTATTGACACCCTGGAGATGTCAGTAAAAACCAAGGAAGACCTCCAGCATATTAGGTAGATCTCCTATCTTATGGGGATAAGATGGTCAAGAGTTGCAGGAGATAGGCAGAAATAGATAGGTTCTCATCTGCATGGTTGGAGGAAATTCCCAAACTGATGACATCATTGATCCATTTGGAAATTGGAAAATTTGAGTATTTATTCTTTTTAACCATGAAAGTGAGGTAGTAGAGGGAGTAAAGATGAGGAAATTTGTTGAGGGTTACATGGATTGTTAGTGGCAGAGCTGGGAGCTCATCTGAACTCTAATGAACCCTACTAGCTTCATTGTCTCTCCCTTTTACTTCACTCAAACTCAGAGCATGATTCTCACAAGTTGCTATCACCCTTATTCAGAGAAGGCAAAATATTGCTCCCACATAAATAAAATTTTTTTTCCCTTCAGAATACATTTAAAATTGCTATCAGAGAATCATTGGATTTTTAACCAGGAAGGGACTTATATCCAATATTCTATTTTCCAGATGAGGAAACCAAGGATAAGGAGGAGAAGGGATTAATCTAATCTATTTAGTTGATGAAGCTAGGATTAGAATCTAAGTTGTCTCTCTCACACTCCATGCTCTTTTGCACTAACCTTTCTCAAAGTTAGCTCTGGTTTCCTTTGAATGGCTTCCATCTTTCACTGTGTATTGGCTTTTATATTCTCATCTCATCCTCCTCTTACTACTTCTTGTGAAAAATGATTATTAATAACCAATATCTTGGGGAGATTAAGAGCCTCCCCCCACCTTCCTTCCAAAGTCCTGACTTTGTTTAGTTTTTTTGTTTTAATTTTTTTTTCTTCAGAAAAAAAAATTTAAAAAAGAGAAAAAAAACATTACTGATGATGAGATTGCATTGACTTTCCTTATCTTGGTCAGCCCCACTAAAGCTTAATAAGATTGCATTGACTCTCCTTAAGCTGGTCTGCCCCCACCCAAGTTTGAAAGAAATTTAGTCTAAACTAGGGAAGCCCATTGTGTTCTACTTAAGCTTGGGTGGAGATAAGATTCTTTTGTCTAGATGGCCAAAGGCTGGGAGTGGTCTGGTATAACTGGGAGTGGTCTGATATAGCTGGGAGTACTCTGTTCTGGGGTGAAATGATGATGGAGGGACATCAGCTCCTTTTGGAAGGATATATAAACTGTGTAGCCTGACCCCAAAAGTAAGCTCTGTTTTGCCTGTCAGCTTTGAGAGAAATAAGAAATAAATGCTCATGTAGCCTAATTCTGTTTGTCTTTCTTAGACCTAACTCTGGAGGTTAACACGCTTAGCCAAAGGACCTGGTCAGAACAAATAAATTATAATCCTTTGGAAATAATCAGCAGATTTTTTTCTTCCCTCTTAATGTTTTAATTAGACACTAATGTTTTGTGTTAATCTTTTTAGATGTTTATATTAGAGCATATATTTTGAAGGGTGAGCAGCACATCATTTATAGTGAATGGTGAATGGCAGCCTTGTGTCTCTTATTACTCATGAGTGCCATCTGATAAGCCCCCATTATTCATGAGTTCCCAATTACCAATTAATCTTTTCTCATTATTTAACCAAGTAATATCAATTAGTTTTTATGAGGGGATATTTACTGTGAAGATACAGTAAGAATTGAAGTACAAAAACCTCTGGAATGAAGAGTTCATTACCTTTCAGAGAATTGGTCACTGGGAGACTGGGCTCAATCTTAAACTAGTGACTACCAAATAGCCACCATCAACTTAACTTCTTAATCAGGTATAACTGATGAAAAAGTTTCTCCCTTTCTTTGAAGATGTTAAAAGCTATGTAGGATGATGGTCTAGTCACTGTCAGATCAAGCAGGTTGCTCATTAGGACTAGATTCTCACCTCACTTGACTGCTATGGCTTTTGCCAGGCTCTGTTATGGACTTCCTCTGCTAGACCTCAAATAACCTTTTGAAGTTCACAATGTAGTAATTTGTTCTATTCCATCCCCAGCACTCATTCACCGAAGATCAAGAAACAAATATACACAATAGAGATAAAAACAGAGGTAGCACCATGAATCCAAGACCACATTTTGGTCAAGTAAGGAGAATAGACAACTGGTAGTAAGTAGCAGGCCACTAAGACCACTATTAGTACATCTCCTCATGCATCCATGGCACTTACAGCATTTCTTTTTCCTCCTTATTTGAAAGTCACCAGAAAAGATAGAATCCTATCATTCAAGCCTTTTGTACGTATACTCAGCTTCAGCTCAGTAGGTCAGTTAAAAGACTTTTCATCACCATGTAAGAAACTGATAGGAAAAGGTTAAGAGTTCCTTTGTGTTTTCTGAAATAGAGGGAAGGGATCTCGTATTATGCATTCCTGGAAGAAGGCTCATCAGGAATCTCTGTGGTGGATTTCCACAGGCAGAGTATGCATGCTCTTACCAGACTTCTTCTTTCAGTCCCCACCATTACCCAAAGGTATGTGTGGGAACTTCCTGACCACTAGTTACACAAAAAGTGGAATGGGATTTCTGTGGAGGGTTCTCCTTCACTAGAAATCTTAAAGTAAAAGCTGAGGGACCATTTTTCAGAGATGTTGTAGAAAGGAAACTTGTTCAGCTATGAGATAGACCACATCAATGATTCTCAAAGTGTGGGATGCTTGTGGGTTCCAAAGACTCTTGTAGGGAATCTACAAGGTCAAAAACATTTTTGCAATAATACTGAGATTTTAATTTTAATACAGTAAATGTCAAAACCTATAATCCACATGAAGAAGTTTTCATTGGGGGGGCCTCAATAACTTTTTAAGAGTGTAAAGGGGTCCTGAGACCAAAACATTTGAGAAACACTGAACTAGATGGTCTCAGAGTTCCTTTCCAACTCTTAATTCTATACATATCACAGTTTAATTGATTTGTTGTTCAAATCGCTTTTCACTTCAACTCATCCTTTAAAAAGCTATCAAAATTATGTTCTTAAAGCATAGATCTAATGAATTCATCACTCTCTTACCCCTTCCTGATACTCAGTAGACTCCAGTGGCTGCCTATTACTTGGAATAGTGTTTGCCATTTAAAGCTCTTTACGACCTAGCCCTTCCAAGAAAAAAAATCTCCAAACTTCTTAAATTTTGCTCCCTTTTATAAACTCTATGATCTAGATATACTGACCTACTTTCTATTTTTCACACATGATGCTTTTGTTCTACACATGATGCATGATCTATCTCTCATCTCTGTGCTTTTGCATTCATTATCTATCATAACTGGGATGCTCACCCTCCTCAACATCTTTTAAAATCTCTGGGTTCCTTAAAGATTCAGCTCAAATATTGCATTCTGCAGGTCTTTCCCAGGATCCCCAGTTGTTAAAACATTCTCCCCTAAAGCTACCTTCCATTTTCTTGTATGTATATATGTGTGTATGTGTATACTTTAGTGTGTATCTCTCCCTTTCTTTTTCTCTCTTGTTTTTCTCCTCCATTTAATTTTCATGGTAGAGGGAATGTTTTTGCCCATGCTTGTAGCCCCAGTGTTTAGGACAATGCTTAGCAAATACTGTTTTAAACACTTAATAAGTGTTCACTAATTGTTTGTGGTGGCATGGCAAGCATCGAATTTGGAGTCAGAAGATAATAGTTCAAATATTGCATCTGCCACTTACTACCCATGTGACCTTAGGCAAATCACTTAACCTTTCTGTACCTGTTTCCTCATTTAAAAAGTGAGGACAGTGTGCAATGATCTCTGAGTCCCTTTCATCTCTAGATCTATGATATTATCATCTATCATTTATAATTTGCTGTTGAAAAGCATTGCTACATTCTTTTT